GTTTGGGGTTTAGGGTTCAGAGTTTGCCTGGGGCTCTCTGAAATCTTGAGTTCTGAACTGCTGAGTTTAGGGCGTATGGGTTGGGGTGTAGGCGTTAGCAACCCTAAACCCCCAAAATTGTGCGCACCTGTAAGACTTACGGCGAGCAGGGTTTGGTTTCAATATTACCAATTTCGAGCATCATGCCGCGAAGGACTGGGGCCTAAACTCCGGGGTATATTGTGAGGGATCCATGTGACAAGGATCCCATTATAGAGTGTTCACACTGGGGCTCTGTAGTTTCTGAATCGTCACTCTGAAGCATGATGAGTTGACACGTGCCATGCTACGGGCATTGCCAAAGACAAGATTGCGGACAGGAAGGAGTTATGAGCACTGTTATTGCGAAGGTGTTTCTTCTTTCTTGCTGTCCTTGAGTGAGAAGAGTAATTGTTTCACAGTACCAGGGATCGTCGTCGTTCACTCCCCAAAGCATGTCTTGCTGCCCCAACTCTGCCGATTTTACACGAGGAAGGGTTGATGCTTCGTGGTAAACTGCACAGGAAGAGATGTCGGCATGCTCGGAGAATTTTCTGTTGGAATATGTCAGAACCATATCGAGCCTTCATGGGTGAAACCACCCTGGAAAGCCTTCGCACGAAAACCTGAACACTTTAACCCGAAGCCAACTCAGGTTACGACGCCATCTTCGTGCGGCGTGATCTGACCCCGCTCTACAGTGCGGTTCGGATGCCCAGCGGGCTGTTTCGGAACAGACAACCCAAACCCGAGACCCTGAAGACCATAGCCAGAAACCTCGAAGTCCACCCTAAACTGCCCTAAACCCTAAACCTATACACTGTCGCTGGCGATGTTGATAATGATGAAGGAGGAGAAGATGTTGATGATCAGCATAGCAATCAAAGATGGACGGTTTAGACGTAGAACCCAAACTTGGTTGCTTTCGGTAGTATGTCGACTCTGGGTATGCTTGTGCTTAGGCCTCCCCGACCCCGGAACCGGAACCTTAGCCAATCACCAACACCTTGCTTCTGTGGCTAAACTCCACGCACAGGAAGCCTTAAATGCTAAGGCCCTAGGTAGACCCTCTACGAAAAAAGAGCCCATGGGGAGAGGCCCGGCCAGCGCTGAAATTTCCTCAGGACTGAGCTGGTGCGAAGATTTGGAATTTGTGTTACTTTAGTGAAGGGCTCGGTTCTGACTACTCAAGGTGCTATACTGGAGTTCCTTATTTCATGAAAACTCCTGCCTGTTCGTCATGCATACTTGGCAGGGCTTGTTGCTTTTAGGGCGTGGGGTTCAGGATGTTAGACTTAGATTTAAGGGTTGGGGTTGCAAAAGGCTCATACTTCCATGATCCCCTCGAGGCCAGCTTTGACTCAGCCAGGCTGTAAGAACTTGGACTATGAGGGGAAGCCGACACCTTAACTGCGCAACCCACTACACGTAATAAAGCCGAAACCCGCATATAATTCTGTAATACGGAACCCTAAAGAACAGCATGGCTAATCTGTGTTAATCGTTCAGGCTTCTATCTTGCTGCAGGATGAGTTCCTCTGCTATCGCCGCTCCATCATCACCACCTGCAGCCGTCCGATTCGATTCGTTCGCGAGTGGCTGGAGACTCGGTTCTTTTGCATGGCGGAGCTGGGCAAAGATAGGGGTTTAGGGTTTAGGGTTCAAAAGTTCTGAGCTAGAATAAGGGGCTTTTGGGGATATCTTCAATTGTCTTTGTGTTGAGCAGCCCTGAGAAATACTACTTTTTGATTAGTTTGCAGCCGAAATTCTTAGAATATATAAAACAGTTACATTCCGGATTGTGTTCATGATTTTGATTCGGGGCCAACATTCTTAAAGATAATTAGAATAGTTCAAGTCAGGATTCGAAGGTTACCTAAACCCTAAACACTACACCCAAAGGCATGAGACACTTGCTGTCATGGCGTGCTTCTGGAAGCTGGATGTGACCTCGCTTGTGTCTTGCATGCTGAACCATACGCCTCACACAGTATGCAATATAACCGTCAAAGACTTTTAGACCTTGCCGGCATAATTGCTTTATTGTCCTGATCCATGCAGGGACCCTGGTCCCACATAGCCTGTACACTAATTAGGCTTTTTGGCTCTTAAAAGTCCAAGATTCTCAGACGGACTCTCCATGGAGCCACCGTCCTTTAAGGTTCTTCCGCGCGAATGATCCCGAAGACTTGCACCTCTCGCCCGGCGCTTAGCGGCACTCGCAAGTGTTCGGAAGACTTCGGATTTTGCTGGGAGCAACAGTAGGGTTTGGGGTTTAAGGTTTGGCCCGTGATTCAGCGGTTGTGCAGCAAGGATCAGCCTTACACATCACTACGTGTAGCAAGAGGGTCTTTACGTTGTCATATTTGGGAATTTGAATATTTAAGCCCCCGTTCAAGCCTTCAACTGGGAACTTAATGCTGAAACGTCGTACCCTAAACCCCGAACTTGATAAACCCTAAACTAACTCGACACCCCTGCGGAAATGAGTTCGTTGTTGTTTTCCACTGCAGCAGGCTCGAGAGCATGTGGCACAACATCACTCAACTGTCAGAGTTCGAAGGCGCGTCGATTTTGGGATGTGGGGGGTAGGGTGTTGTTTTCGGTTTCGGGGTTTAGAGGTTCAGTATTGTTGGGTTTTGAGATTTTTGATTTTGGGTTTGGGTGTCTGGAGTGAAGGTTTGTTAGGCTTAGTGATCTAGCGGTTGAGGATATGGGCGATCATCTGCGGACAGAATCGCAAAATCCCACGGTAGTTCAGACTGCCCGCCCTTCTCAGCATCAGTAGTATCTTTATCAAGTGAGCATTGACCATCACTCTCACCATCACCAGCATCATCTTCAGCATCATTATCACTGTCATCCTGATAGCATCCCTCTCCTCAGCATCATCATAGCCATTGTCCTCCTCCTACTCCTCCTACTCCTCCCAATTTTCCTCATCATCATCACCATGTAGTAAACGAACATGATCAGCCTGCTGATACTAACAAGCAACATGTGGAAGTGCTCGGAATGATGCAGTCGTGCTCATCGTAACAATCTCGGTAGAAGATACCTCCTCTTTCATACCACGACGAGAAGCTCTACCACGGAAGGATTGGCAGATGACATTGTACATTATGCTACCTACCGCTATGCTTGCACACGTACGAGCAGCGGTCGATCAATGTTGTTCATCGTTGTTTCAGTTGCCGGGCTGCACGTGCAATCGCAAGGTTTGTCTGTCCCGCGCACCACCCTTGCTTGCGGCTGCTCTTGCTACAGACCGTAGCCTCAACCTTGATGCCTCAACCCAGCACAGCAACCCTACCTCACCCAAACTTAAAGCCAAACTTCTGCAGGGCGAAAGGGTTCAGCGCGGCTTAACGAAAGCCTGCAACCTTCAGCCCACTAGGACCTAGTCACTAGGATTTTCAACCCCAGCCCTAAACCATCCCAAACCCCAAACCGCTGTAGGGCTCCCAAAGGGTCACTATGCCATAGTCATTATATGGTTTACTATACATCCTCTCAAAAGCCATAGTCTAAGCATGAAGCGCGCTACATTAAGCAAAATCCTGGGTCCCTAGATCCTAGGTAGTATTATTAGGGAGACCCCTTCAGGGGGACCCTTCTTCACCCTCCTTCTGGCTCTCTTAAGCGGGACCTGAATTGAGAGGATCTTTATCCCCAAGGGTCCCCTAAACCCTAAACCCTAATCCATAGGCCCCATAGTAGTTCCTTGTTGGGATTACCTTATAGGATTCTAAGTATGAACCCCAAAAAGGAACTACTCTGGGGCCTACGGGTAATCCTAACTTTCACCCTAAACCCTAAACCCAAACTCCCGCTAGATTGAAAGGCATGAAGACCATGCCCTTCTCGCTCTTCATCTGAGCTGTCGCCCTGGAGCCCGAGGGTTAAAGGGCCTTTAGAGTTTAGGGTTTCATAATATAGGGCTTAGAGTTTAGGGTTTCATAATATAGGGTTTAGGGTTCAGGGTTTAACAGTTTTTGGTTTGGTCTTGGTTTGGGCTAGCAACCAGTTGCGGTTTGTTACAGTGTGTCAGCAATGGCCTTGTGTGCAGACCAATCGATTGCGACGAATCAAAAGGGCTACCCCCAAACATCCGAACCCTAAAGTCCCAAACCCTACAAACCCTGAACCCTACAAACCCTAAACCCTACAAACCCTAAACCCTACAAACCCTGAGCCCTAAACCCAAAATCCCTACACCCAAAACCCAAAACCCGAAAGCACTAAAGCCCTACGCCTGATTAATTGAAGGCCCAACATGTAGGGAGCCTGAGCACGAAACAGTAGAGCCTTCGAAGAAATCCGAAACACCCACCCTAATGCAGGGGCTTAAGGGGTTCGTTATTACAATTATAGTATAACGGGCCCCAAGACCCTATTACCAATCATATTTTAGGGGCTCCTTTTATAACTACAGTACAATGAGCACCAAAACCCTGTTCTAATTAATAAGGCCCCTACATTAAACCCCATAACCCCCACAACCCTGGCATCCATCTCCCCACGCTGGCAGCCTCTGAAGCGAAAGCCCCCGAACCGTCGAGGCCCTCACCCAAAGCCTCAAGCCATACGGTTTGAGGTTTAGGGACATTAAGCCGTGAAGCCGTAAATCCTGAAACCCTACTTAACCCTCAAGCCAGACAGCATGCAGCCACAAAGCCTTCAAGGCTCGACCCTCCAAACCCAAACCCTCTGCCCAAACCCGGTACTATAAGCAAACACTCAAGCACTCTGGCAGGTAGGATCAGGTAAGTCGAGGGCTCACAAGGTTTAGATGAGCTGTGGCTGACGCGTAGGTGTTCGATGCTTGGGCCCTCGGTTTTGAGTTGCTGGGGGTTTTCAGATGTTAGCTTTCCTTGTGGGTAGCGGATCCGGCGTCGGTTGCCGTAATTTCTGGAGTTTCTTGCTGAGTCTTGCGTGCATAGGGGTAGTTTTCTAAATTGGGGTCCCTTTGGGGTCCTTTTTTTCAGGGTGCCGTACTATTGGGGGGATTCAAAGAGAACTACCCATATGAGCCTTGGCTGGATAGATTGGGTCAGCACTAAGGGTTTTGGAGGTTTAGGGTTTGGGATTTCGGAGGTCCTGCCCCATTAACCGAGTAGGAGTCTTCTCGAATTGAAGAGGTTCCCCACGTGATGTTTATGGAATCCTTAAGGAAGGGGTTGTACGGGGGGTATATAACCCAGTAATCCCCAATTCTCCCTAGTACTCCCTTAGGTTCCCTAAGGCTCCCTAGGACCCTCCCCCCTTGAGCCACCCTCCCCTAAGGATCCTATAAGATGGGGGCTCTTCTGTAGAGAATGACCTTCTTGGGGTACCACAACCTCTATAATCCCAGAGGTGAACCTTTAGTGCCCTTGAGGATACTGGACAAGTACTGGCAAAACCATCGCCTCTGAGACCGATATCACTACCTTTATGGGCTTAGGGTTTAGAAGTTTAGGGGTTTAGGGGTCATTGCTTTAGTGTTAGGACAAGTAACGGAGGTAAGGGCTTGAGGTTTAGGGTCCTGTCCCTGCGCAGACGTCTAACCTAAACCCTAAACCCTAAACTCTAGGAAAACTCTATATCCCTAAACCCTAAACCCTAAACCCTAAACCCTAAACCCTAAACCGAAACCCTGTCCCTGCGCAGACGTCTAACACGATGATCGCAAAGCTGACTGCGGAGAACCTTCGAAAGTCTCAGCCTCAGTCGCGAGTCCGCAGGACCTCAGGAACAGGCGTCCCCGGAATAGGGTTCAAGGTTTAGGGTTTAAGGTTTAGTGTTTAGTGTTTAAGGTTCAGGGTTTAGCGTTTAGGGTTTAAGGTTTAGGGTTTAAGGTTCAGGGCTTAGGGTTTAGGGTTTAAGGTCAAAGGAGGGTTTAGGGTTTAGGGTTGAAGGTTTAGGGTTTAGGGTTTAAGGTTTAGGGTTTAAGGTCAATCGTTTGTTTAGGGTTTAAGGTTTAGGGTTTAGGGTTTCAGTGCTCTCGCTGGCCCGTGGAGCTCTCAAGCCCCTAGCAACCCTGAAGTGTTTCGAAGCTCTCCCAAGCCATGTCTCGGAAGCCTGAATATCAACACCATTGCTTAGTGTTCCTGAACTGAACTACAAAGTCATATTCCCGAAAACCCTATTGCATTTAATTAGGGGCGCCTATATGGAGGTTTCCGAAACTAGGGGACCCTAATATACTACCCTACATAGTAGGATCCTCATTATAAGGACCCCAAAATATGGAACCCCTCATTTTCGGAAACGCCTATAGTCTGTGTGGGGAGCTCGGTGCGAAGCCCAGAGCTTCCCCACGAAGGCTCCAGACAGAGCGCCTGAAGCCATGAGCTTCCTGGACCCTACAAAAAACCGACCTGCTTTCAGGACTTATGTAAAGACGTCGTGCGAAGGAGCCCTAAACAGCTGGGTGATAGGCACAGATAGACTGTTCAGGTTTGTTTTGAGGCACAACAAGCATTAAACTGAAGAGCTCTTGGCACCGAATCGCTTGTCATACAGCTCGATTCAAGCACCACGCATGGCGAGGTTCGCTGCCGCGCAAGCAGCGCAGAGAGAAGAGGCAGCCGGCGGCGCCAAGAAGGCTCGTGGGGCAGAATTCTGGTTTTTGCTATGGCGTATGAATTTGGGTTTAGGGGGGTCTAGGGTTTAGGCCAAGGAGTAGAATTCAGGCAAGGCAAGGATAGCTGAGCAGCTGCGGTATATGATGGCATATGGGTTGTTCTCTAAATTCGCTTAGGGTGCCTGTTTAGGTCCACAACAGTACGGCACCCTGATAAAAAGGACCCTAACAGGGACCCTAATTTTCAGAACTACCCATATGGTAAATCACCCTAAACCCTTCACGTGGCAAGAGCCCAGCTTTGCCTTTGGGAAGTCTTCATTCGTGCGACTGGGCAGGGGCTGTCGAGCTTCAGGGCTTCAGGAGGTTAGAGCTAATGCCCTAAAACCCTAAACCCTAGAAGCTAAGCCCTATAAACCCTAAAGCCCTAAAACCGCAAACCCTAAGCCCTAAACCCTTAAACCCTAAAGCCTAAACCCGAAGCTCTTCAAGCGCTACAGCCTAAGCCCCTCATCACGAAGTCAGTTGGGCTGAGGTGTTTAGAGCTTAAAGCCTCCAGCCCAAACCCTCAACCCCCTGAATGTAGGGTTTAGGGTTTAGGGTTTGGGGTTTAGTTCGCCCTTCGGCCGGTCTCTTCTTATGGCGCGCAGTGCCAGAACCGTATATTCTCTGCGGTTTGGGGCTTCGGGTAGAAAACTCTCGAGCCCAGAATTGTACGCCTGAAAGGGCTTGGCGCTGTCGGGTTTATCAGAGCTTAGACGTCCTACAATATTGACGCAAAAAGACACAAAGTTCCGAAGCCCTTCGTAAGTGCTCAGTCGTTGCGGGCGGCGACTTCTAAGAACACGGAGCCTCAAATACGGCAATAGGGCGAAAGAGGGTCGATTAGTCAGGAGCTCTGCCCGTTTGTTCAATTTTTCATGAATATAGAAGCCTCAATAATAACTACACTATTCTTAGGGTTCCCTACTATAGTTACACCATAAAGGAGCCCAGAAGCCTACTAAACCTAACCCGTCGCTCTAAAGGCCCAGGCTTAGCCCGGGATTCTAAGCTTAACCCTGAACCTTAAGCTTGAGAGCCTAGACCCTAAACCTTATAGACCCTACACCCTAAACCCTAAGACCCTAAAACCCTAAAGCCCTAAGCCCCAAACCCTAAACCCTAAACCCTAAAACCCTAAAGCCCTAAAGCCCTAAACCTTAAGACCCTAAAGCCCTAAAACCCTA